TCAAAACCTGAAGTGCAGAAGCTATATGCTGTCTGATGTTAACCAAGAAAGAGCATCAACCCAAAAGTTTAAATGGAAAATTGCACCAAAAAGTAAAATTTACAGTCACGAGAACTTAACGAAAGAAACATTACTTGCGATAAAGTTCATTTTCCTACTCGTCCATTTCTTCCTAAAGAGGATGCATGACAATATACAAGGCGGTCCCTGATGAGAGATTGTATTTGCAAAGCTTACCAGCAGTTTTTAAGCCATAAAAAAAGCATATCCAATTTGGTGAAAAGGAGAGAGAATTCATTCAATTCAATGACAGGAATATGAGAGTTTGTCACGAATTCTTTTCATTCTTGATTCTCTTCACGTCATTATTCTCCTGACAACAGAGATACAAGAGTTCTTGCCCAACTGATTTTTTAAAGTTTGCCATTCTTTTACGTACTATAGCAATAAAATTCCAACAGAGCCCAAAAGTTCTGTCAGTTTTCCCAGTTTACTTTCACATCATCCATTTTGCCAACTCCAAATAATAGAATTGATTATCAATCATATCTGTGCCTGTTTTCCGTCATCTCATTTGAGACCCAAACATGTTAACCTTGGTTCAGGAGCAGGAACCTGTTATGGCTTATGGGAAACCACAATAACCTTTCATGGTAATTTCAGGATTTTCCCCTTTTCTCCATTTCTACCATCTCATATCAGAGGACAGGGACAAAAAAGATAAGACAATGCACAACAAATAGCATTCATGTACAAAAGTGAATCATTTAGTATTTATCCTGCACAAAGACAAGGGATGGCCATACATATTGCAAAGTCGAAAGCAATGCACGGAGATTTCCTTCTTTTCCACTTGACCATCTCTTCACCTCAACATCCAGAATTTCCGCAACTCTCTGCACATTTGAAATATTTTGACATGAGATCATATGCAATATTAGTCATAGATCAGATGTTACTCAGATAAGGATGCATACATTCCTCTCTTGTTGTTCTCGTTGAGCAAGAATATCGCGCATATTTTTCTCTGCCAGGGCTTTAGCCTAAAATGGCACATGGAAAAGCTCAAGATCAAGCAACTAAAAGAAGAATATTACAAAAAAAGGGAGTGATAAACATTATGAAAAGAAAACACGCACTGCACGCTCAGCTGTTCTCTGGTATCTCTCTAACCGAGCTTTACATCTCTGAGGTGATTCGCCTTCAGCTCCTACAAAGTTTAAAATGTATAAGCTAGAAGCCAAACAAGCCAAAAGGCACTTTTTCAGGATTATTCTAGGCAAATACATTGTGGTAAATCAAAAGGTAGATCATAATTAAGTTCTCATATATATTAGAAAATGATGATCATATCTCACATACCAACATGTGCTGAAGAATATGAATATCTCAATCCATTCGAGTTTCCTGTACTTCGAAAATGATGGTCATGATGTTCCTACAAATAAAACTCATCAAACATCTGTAGAAATGCGTTAGAGCAATAAATACAATGAAGAGCACTCACAGATAGAGAAGTATCCCTCATTTCAGGACGTCTGGAATAACCTGAAAATTTATCATGAACAGATCTTTCTACTTGTTCCCGGACCTCAAAGGTATTCTTCTCGAGCAATGATTTTTTAACAGCACGCTGCCAGGCCTCAACAGCTGCCCTCTCTACCGGAGTACGATCTGCCCTGAGCCTAGCTTCCACAGTTGCCCTCTCTAATCTTTCTCGAGCCTCTGACATAGCTCGTTGTCTTGCTTCAGCAGTAGCTCTCTCCACTGCAGCTCTTTCTGCTCTCGCACGAGCTTCAGCATATGATCTTTCATGAGCTTCAAGGGCTGCTATGCCCAGAGACATCCTGTCCTTTTCTCTTTCTCTTTCTCTCTCCCTTTCTTCTTCCAATTTTCTCATACTTTCATTTTCCCGTTCTCTTTCCCTTTGTAGTCTTCCATCTACTTTTTGGTCTTTTGTAGTAAGGGTCTCATTCAAATTCTTCTCTTTTCTTTCTGTGCTATGGCTTGGACCTTGTTGATGCAGTTTTAGTTTGTTCTCTCTTTCTTCTAACACAAACGATGAAGCACCTACCATCTTTTCCCCATTTTTAACCAACACTGTGGCCACATGACCTGATATAGACTTATCGCTCGTCTCGTTCTTATTGATGCTGGATGGAACACCCTTGATGCCCTTCCCACTCTCTTCTTTACGAGCAACTGCAGTCTCATTTTCATGATTAGGTACAATTTCAGACGCTGATTTCTCTGGCATATAACACGTATTCCCCAAGCAAACTTCAGCTATCTTTGAATTTGTAATGTGTTCAGGTAGAAAAGTTGACTCTGCCAAGTTGTTTTCACCCTTCTCATCTTCGAAGTCATCTCTATTCTGGGTAGAAGAGTTGAATTTTCCTTCAAACAAGCGATTGGTTCCATTATTGGATTCAGAATCACTGCTTTTGCATTCAGTAACCAACTTCTCATTTTCTTCACTAGCAACGGCAGTTCTAGTTTCTTCCAGTTCTCTAGGACTATCATGTTTCCCAGTCAGAAGAGTTTCTAGTAGGGTCCCTTCATCATATTCATATTCTCCATCAAATGCCTCCAAATTACCAGCCTCCGCGAACACATTCTTTTCCTGATCATTTATCACTTCCCCATCATGTCTATTCCCATCAGTAAGCTCAATTTCTATGTCCTGCCCACTCAGTTCATCCCACATACCAGCATCGTCGCTGAAGTTCTTATTCCCTTCAATATCACAAGCTGCTTGTGATCTCTTCACAATTTCTTCCTCCTTGAAAATCATCACTGATCTCTTGTCATCTTTTTGTGTCCAAAACTCTTTGTCACACTCTTCCCTCCCATATGCATCACTTAGTCTTTCCTTAATCTCATTGCTTTCGTGATCCTCCCGTAAATCCTTTTTAATATTTTTGCTTTGAGCAATCCCTCTGCATTCCACTTCATTTTCCTCCTGCTTATGAGACTCTACAAGTCTCTCTTTTCCCCCACATGCTCTCGAATCTAGTTGTTCATCTCTACAGTTCTTTCCTTTCCCAAGACCCATGTTAGACTTCTTATCACTCCTTTCGTGCTTAACAGCCCCTTCCAGTCTCTTCTCATGCCCCTTCAGCTCAAAAGTTTCTTTTGGTGTGTTTTTTTTGCCTTTTCTTTCACGAGAAAAATTATTTCTATTATTGTTTTCTTCTATTTCACAAGCCTTCCATTGTTGCTTCTCTCTTTCTTCCTGCTCTAGGTTCTCTCTTGCTCTTTTTCCAGGTTCTGCGTGCTCAACAGCCTGTTCAAGTCTTCTCTCACGTTTCTCTCTCTCAATGTTTTCTTTGAGTATCATTCCCTTTTCTTTCCCCAAACGAGCATCTTTGCACATCATCTTGCTTTCTATTCTTTTGGTGCCAGACTTTAGTTTCTGTTGTGCTTCCACTTCATTCAAATGGTACCAAGCTTCTGTCAGCTTGTCCACACTTTCATCAGGGTCAATCAATACCTTTTCACTTTGTCCATGTTGCTGGATCACCTTTGTTTTCCTGTCATTCAAGTCAAATTTGCAGATCATCTCATCCAATTGTAATTCCTCTTGAAGCTCCTGATGGCTCAATTTCTTCGTTGCTACTAATCTTCCTTTGTTATAAGCCCAATCACATATGTCCATATCCATTTCAAGCTGATTCCTGTCTTCATCCAATTTAGGAGCTTCCTTTACTAATTTAGAGTTTTTACAGTCTTCCGTCAGGTCATGTGCTTCAGTGCCTGCTTTCTCTTGCTGTCTATATGAATGTGGCCTCATATTTTGGACCAAAATGTTGCCATCATCTATTTTAGAAGCCCTCCTGGGTAGACTTGTATCAATAACTTCAAAAAAATCAGTTGCTTCACTCCATGCAACAGTGTCCACAGATTTTTCGACAAAATGAATATGATTTTTCCCAACTACGGAATCTAAAATTACCTCATTACTCTCGATCGAACTTTTTTCTTCAACAACAGGTTTTGGTACTTTGGCTTCTTTTGCATGTGATTGTTCCAACGTCTCATCCTTAAATCTGCTGGTTGCATTTAATGTATTGCTTGTTTTTCTCTCTACTTCAATATCATTAACCAGATGCGGTTTAATATGACTCTGGATGCCTTTGTTTTTCTCCACTGATTCTTTTGTATTTCTATGTTGTGCTTGAGCTTTCTCCGTTGCATCTTTCGTGGCTTCAGTAGATGAAGATGCATCTACTTCCACATCAAAGAACAGTGACGAACTGTCACTCCGTTCAAAGACAGAATCATTAAAAGCTTTAAGTTTTGCATTTGGTCTATCAGATTCTCCATTTTTAACAGCAAAGGCAGGTGGCGGTCTTGAAGGTGGTGGCAGTCCAGAAGGCTTAGTTCTGAGGCTGATATCAGATATAGTTATAAATGGTTTATTCAGTGTAGATTTCAGCTTGCCATGCTTCTCTAAAAAGTTTAGATCATGATTTGTGTCACTATTGGAGGGGTGTGACAGGCCCTCCGCGAATAGTTTCTCTTCTGCGCTTGTCAAACCATGACCCACACTGCTGTCAAGATCATTAGACACATGCGAAGATGACCTCTCATCTTCCCTCGTCTGGGAAACTAACGTATCATTAAAAGTGTAAGCATATCCAGAAATAGCAGGTAATTGAGTTACATGTGTGGATCCAGTTGCTATGCTTTCCATGCTTCTTTGGTTAGACTCGTGACAAGAAACACTGAACAGATCAATGTCATCATATGACTGGAGATGATCTCCATTTGACAAGCTGTGGTGTTTTCCAGAACTTGCTGAAGGGTCTGATTCGACTGACAAAGACTCACTTTGAGCTGGACTCCTATGTCAGTACACAGCCAAAACATTTCATAATCAGAACATTGCACAATCAAATTTCTTATTTCATACTATATAGTTAACTATAATTACTTTCACAATCATTTTCTTTAGGGCCCAATGCACAAAGATAACTCAACAAATAATACCACATCAACATCAAATTCATAGAAGTTTTATGTTGAACCACCTCAAACAAATGTTTAAGTTGTTAGAGAAGAGAGACAAATATTTATTTAAATTGCCTTCATCACACCCCTCACGTGCAGCCAGATTCATTTTATTATATGACAATCAGCAAAAGAAAAGCATGAAAAGGATTTTGCTTCTACCAGCCGGATGTAAATTAGGATAAATAGCCATTACTCATCCATAATCTCATCCTGCACACAGATAAACTTCTGGAATATTATATTAATTTCAATAATTTTAGGACCCACGAAAATATGGAACCAAAAATTTGTGACTTGGCTTCGAAATTTTTAGCCACAAAAAATAGATTACTTTCTTGTTTATTTTCTTTGAGGGAGGGGATTGCAAAATTTAGTGCCTATAGGAAATCACTTGCAAACTCTCTCTCTCTCTCTCTCTCTCTCTCTCTCTCTCTCTCTCTCACACACACACACACACACACA